AAGCAGTATGATATAAAGTGGACATTCACCTCTAGGAAATCACTTCCATACCATCAAGAGTGAAAAAAATGCCATTAGGAGCTCTTGGAAATTCTGACCTCTGTTACAATGAGTTGCAGCTAAAGAAATAAAATCAACAGTTCCTAAAATGTAGGATAGATTTCTCATTTGTGAGTCAAGAACATGTTTCCTATTTCCTTTCTGTTCTATTTGAGGTGTTAGACACAATGTTTTTCTTCGCATAAAAAGTCCTTAGACACTTTATTGAGATTTTGTAAAACATTCTTAGCACAGCTCTTCCTGGTAGGAAATGGTTACACTGACCGAATAAAAATCTAAACTTGTTCCACATGTTCTCATGTGATCAATATTATCTCAATTTTCCAATTAGATCAAATCATTGCTTCCACTCAAAATAAAATTTCACTACATTTCCTTTAGGCTCTGTTCATATTTTTACTTGAGTTTTTGTATGCACTATGCACTCTTAGGCACTAAGTAGGGAAAATGTGTTATGAAACTTGCTATTTTTGAAAAATTAAAGTATTCAGGTTAATAGTGCTTCTTTATTAGTGGAACGTATGTTTCATGCCCATAGAACACTACATAGCATAAAATGAAGAGAAAGCTACTAAAAAGCTCACGATGGTGACAGGGGCATGCACTAGATGGCAACCCTTTCAAATGGCTTCATTTGAAACATTCATAAAAGAATTAGACTTGCTCATGAAGCCAAAAACAGAGATCAAAAGGCAGCAAATAAACCGGGACCCCTTTTCACCTAGAGGAACTTGTATTAGGAGATACAAGCTAGAGAGCCAGTCACACTACGGTATTTGTATGTGCTGGGAGAGTTTGAAAAGAATATAAAATTAATTTATAAAATACCTAAAGTATGGTCCTTCAGTGTTTTTATTCACATCTTCTACCCACTTAGCTACATTATAGTCTCTTTTGAACCATGGGTTTAAATACCTGCAGAAAGCAATGGAAGGAACAAAGAAAGCAGAACAAGATAGAAAATCTGAAAATACACAGCACAAGCTTAGCAAGGATGTCTTCACCCTCCAAATGCAAGTGACTATGGCAAATAAACCAGGATGGATGTTGGGTGATTATGAGGCAGTCTATACAATGACATGAGAATACTCTCAGCTACAACAGGGCTGGAGGCATTCTAGAATGTAGTCAACAGTTCTGGGAGAAAGCCTTTTGCAGTGACTTCCCACAGTGAGAAGCTTCCTTTCAATCACAGTACTGTCAGCAGCATTCACCCACCTCCAAAGTGGCTTTTTCCAGGCCACCTCTCATTTGGCTCCTTGGTTTTCAAATGATAATGGTGCTTTCTGAAAATATTCAGATGGCTGCAATTCCAGTCTGGCATTTTGGGCATATAACATGCCAAGAACAATTAAAAGGACCAACATTTTTATTCCAATATGACAAGAAGACTTTTACAATATGGTCACTGTCTCATTACCTATCACGCAGGTCCCAAGCTGGAGTCAATAATAAAATGTACCCCAGTAGGCTCTGTAAGGAGCACAAAGGGTCCCACTCTTTTGATCTTGGAGCACCAATGTACATTAAATATTGTTCAGATAGGCCTTCTTTATCTTGGAGCTGTGATTAGTAACTTAATTGCAGCTGCATAGCTCCTTCCTCCTCTTGTTACACTCCAAAGTGTTTGTTTCAACCAGGAAACTGCTCAGAAACAGCCTTCCAAGTGTCTGATGGTTAACTGTCTGAGCAAGTGCTAGAGAGTAATGACCTTAGTCAGCATCTCCCCAGTGGATCTGGCAAAGTCCCCATCAGAATTACTGTGCAAATGTTTAAAGTAGTAAAACTGGAGGTATAACTTGTTTTTCCCCAGAGTTTCCTTTCTTTTTTTTTTTTTTGAATCCTGAGAGTCAAGCCAAAACAAATCCCTTTAGACAAATTTAACAGACTGAACAAATTCAGTATTGGGAGAATTGAGGTTTTCCTGAATTTATTCATTTAAAAAGTCACTTCTAGATACTATGGACAATAAAGATCAAGCTCTATAAAACTTGTTATTTGGGAACAAACCAGGGGAATTATAAAATGCATTATTTGGTTTTGATTAAAGTTTGCTTCTTTCCCCTGTATTTGTTTTTTGAGGTGTTTGCAAATATATACATTTAAATTGAGGCTACATTTCCACAATTTAAAATTCAATTCAGGTTATTTTTTCCACAGTCCTTTCCCTCACTTTTAGCAATAACGAAGGTATTCTACAAGGTAATATCATGAAACCCTCTTGAAAGAAGAGTTCAGTTGCTTTTTATGAGACCATTTTTGCTAAGAAAATATCTCCTGACTCAACAACTCACAATAGTTTTGCCTTTAGCCACAATCATTGCCAACTTGTGCTTTATACAGAGATAACCAATTAAAACTTGCATAAAGATTTTCACTGAGACTAACAAAAAGAAAAAAGTCAAAAAGCAAATGCAGCCACAGATGAAGGCTCGTGAATGCTCTGGCCTAGGGAAAACCGTAGAAAAAGCCCATGCAGCTGTAATCAAGTGAAACAGAGCCACATAGCAAACCGAGTCACCCACAGGCAGACGGCCACTTCCAGGAGAAGACATTTGTTCCTTTCACTAACAATCTTAGAAACTCGAAGGACTGGTGCAATAGCTGTTCTGTGACAGCTACAACCACATGGCTTGACTTTGCACTTGATGAACCTTTCCTCCATTTCAGGGAGCATTTCAGAGGCCTGCAATCACTTCATCAGAGACCACTGATGAGAACTCTCAGCTGTTCCTTCTGGGAATCTATCTGTGAAAGTGTCTTCACAGTGGGCCTCCTAATATCTCTAGGTTGAAGTGGCTGGAGTGATATGATTTTATCAAATGCAGTAAATCTGTCTACGTGGCTTGACTTGGCTTATAGCGCAACATGCAAAAAAATGCGTCAGACGGGATAGGAGAGCTCTTTGTATTCTCCAGGATGGAAAGGCGGAGGAACATTAGCTGGTGCTGACTGGACCAGGAGCACCTCGGAGCAGACATGGGGGCTTGGTCGAAGGTCAAATGACCTCGTTCTCAGCCAAGGAAGGGACTTGGAGGGAGATTAAGTGGCAGCCCAGAATGAAGGGGCAGGTGGAGACTGACCTGTGATCCAGACTCCCTGTCTGGGGGCTGTCAGAGCCCCCTGGGCTTATGCCTTGGGATGGGACTGTCTGGGCGAGGGAGTGCCCAGGCTCAGGTGCTTGGGGCTCCCTCCTGTAAAAACACAATATATAATACAAAGTCTAAGCCAAAAAAAATTTGTTACATCATGTACAACAGTGAGGAAGATGCAAAAGCTCTGAGTGGAAAAACAACACAGTAAACATGGATATTTTATTTTGTTATCTAGCAGAGCATGCATGTGTGGTGCATCCTTTGGGATGATGAGGTACTAAAGGGAATAGTGGACTTGGAATACCTTTTATTCCATAAATAAATAAATAAATAAATGAGATATGTTTGTCTGTGGTCGCTCTGTTCTTAAGATCCACACAAATGGCATTATTATATCAGAAGCAAATGGAATTGCATAAATATAGAGAGTATAAAAAAATTTGCTCACATAGTTCTTAATATGCTATCTATCAGAAAGCTTCCTAAGAAAATAAACATATATATGTATGTATATAGAGAGCAGCAGTTCCCACACATAAAGTAGTAAAACTGGAGGTATAACTTGTTTTTCCCCAGAGTTTCCTTTCTTTTTTTTTTTTTGAATCCTGAGAGTCAAGCCAAAACAAATCCCTTTAGACAAATTTAACAGACTGAACAAATTCAGTATTGGGAGAATTGAGGTTTTCCTGAATTTATTCATTTAAAAAGTCACTTCTAGATACTATGGACAATAAAGATCAAGCTCTATAAAACTTGTTATTTGGGAACAAACCAGGGGAATTATAAAATGCATTATTTGGTTTTGATTAAAGTTTGCTTCTTTCCCCTGTATTTGTTTTTTGAGGTGTTTGCAAATATATACATTTAAATTGAGGCTACATTTCCACAGTTACATTTAAAATTCAGGTTATTTTTTCCACAGTCCTTTCCCTCACTTTTAGCAATAACGAAGGTATTCTACAAGGTAATATCATGAAACCCTCTTGAAAGAAGAGTTCAGTTGCTTTTTATGAGACCATTTTTGCTAAGAAAATATCTCCTGACTCAACAACTCACAATAGTTTTGCCTTTAGCCACAATCATTGCCAACTTGTGCTTTATACAGAGATAACCAATTAAAACTTGCATAAAGATTTTCACTGAGACTAACAAAAAGAAAAAAGTCAAAAAGCAAATGCAGCCACAGATGAAGGCTCGTGAATGCTCTGGCCTAGGGAAAACCGTAGAAAAAGCCCATGCAGCTGTAATCAAGTGAAACAGAGCCACATAGCAAACCGAGTCACCCACAGGCAGACGGCCACTTCCAGGAGAAGACATTTGTTCCTTTCACTAACAATCTTAGAAACTCGAAGGACTGGTGCAATAGCTGTTCTGTGACAGCTACAACCACATGGCTTGACTTTGCACTTGATGAACCTTTCCTCCATTTCAGGGAGCATTTCAGAGGCCTGCAATCACTTCATCAGAGACCACTGATGAGAACTCTCAGCTGTTCCTTCTGGGAATCTATCTGTGAAAGTGTCTTCACAGTGGGCCTCCTAATATCTCTAGGTTGAAGTGGCTGGAGTGATATGATTTTATCAAATGCAGTAAATCTGTCTACGTGGCTTGACTTGGCTTATAGCGCAACATGCAAAAAAATGCGTCAGACGGGATAGGAGAGCTCTTTGTATTCTCCAGGATGGAAAGGCGGAGGAACATTAGCTGGTGCTGACTGGACCAGGAGCACCTCGGAGCAGACATGGGGGCTTGGTCGAAGGTCAAATGACCTCGTTCTCAGCCAAGGAAGGGACTTGGAGGGAGATTAAGTGGCAGCCCAGAATGAAGGGGCAGGTGGAGACTGACCTGTGATCCAGACTCCCTGTCTGGGGGCTGTCAGAGCCCCCTGGGCTTATGCCTTGGGATGGGACTGTCTGGGCGAGGGAGTGCCCAGGCTCAGGTGCTTGGGGCTCCCTCCTGTAAAAACACAATATATAATACAAAGTCTAAGCCAAAAAAAATTTGTTACATCATGTACAACAGTGAGGAAGATGCAAAAGCTCTGAGTGGAAAAACAACACAGTAAACATGGATATTTTATTTTGTTATCTAGCAGAGCATGCATGTGTGGTGCATCCTTTGGGATGATGAGGTACTAAAGGGAATAGTGGACTTGGAATACCTTTTATTCCATAAATAAATAAATAAATAAATGAGATATGTTTGTCTGTGGTCGCTCTGTTCTTAAGATCCACACAAATGGCATTATTATATCAGAAGCAAATGGAATTGCATAAATATAGAGAGTATAAAAAAATTTGCTCACATAGTTCTTAATATGCTATCTATCAGAAAGCTTCCTAAGAAAATAAACATATATATGTATGTATATAGAGAGCAGCAGTTCCCACACAGGAAGGTATAGATGAGAACAGTGGTTCATTCATTCACAGACTTGGTTCCATTTAATTAATGTAAGTCATGTAACCAAAGTCAGGAAAGTCTGAATAATCTAAGGGAGTCCTTAATACATCTCCCTCACTAAGATGATTCTATTATGATGTTTTATTAAATATTATTATTTAATTATCTCACAGGCAAAATTTCAAAGACTATCTGTATAATATTATAATTCTTATCATATGATGTGGGTGGACCTTTTACATAGAATTTTACAAATACGTGATTACTCTAGAAAATATTATGTGAATACTGCTAAACACCAAATGTTCTTTGGGTCCTAAACTCATAGTTTTAACATAATATTGGATTTTTTGTTTTCACTCAGGAGTTTTCAAAGTCTTGTTATAGGAAATACTGTTAGAACACTAAACAGTACCCAGGAAGTTCTGAAGAACATTTTGCAGTTTTATCTACACTCTGACAAGCAATTGAGATAAGCTAAGGAGCTCTTCCCAGGTGACCTCATGCAAAACAAACCAAAAAACATTCCCAAAAGAGTTTATCACCAATGAGCCTACAGCATCCAAGCGCTTTGGAAATGTGTCAGATAAACTCGAATAGATTAGTTATTTATGATGGAGTTCTAAGATGCCATTCTGGACCATGCAATGGTATCACTTGAAATTGTCTATTGTTCTAAGGCAAAATATCCTCTAGTAAGCTTTGACAAGCCACTTACAAGACAATACCATTCAGGTGGAAGGTCCAAATTTCAGGACAATGTTATTATTCGTGGACTGAAAAAGGCAGGGGTATATGATGGAAAAGCTAATATAAGTTTCTAACAAGCAGTTAACAAATACCTGCTATTCAGACTTTTTCAGTATTAAGGCATGAAGAAGCAACTGAGATCCTAGGAATACTAACTATCACTACAGTGAGAAATACGTGGGATAAAAAAATCAAGCAGGTTAAAAAGGTAGAGGTAATTAAAACCAGGTGACCTCAGCCCAAAAGTTGTATTCCATGAAGGGAGGTAAAGGTTGGAGGAGGCTTTGTTTTGCTTGTCCTTTTTTAAATGGAGAAACAAACCCAAAAAACTGCATGGTATTTACTTCATTATAAAGGACTTTAAATGTAACTTCAATCCCCACCTTATTCCCCTCCCCCAAAATAAAAAGTGTGGCTATCATCTAAAACAGATAATGCTGCATTTAGTGACAATGATTCCGTTAAAGAGCAAGTTTAGGTAAATGCCCTTTTAAACATCCTCAGAAGGAAAATTTAAAAGGGAAACTTATTCCATTAGTCTGAGAGAATGCTTAGATGGCAGCCATGAAGACGTCAGGAGCAGTGGTTTCAGAGCAGTATCATGCTCTAGTACAGTGGGGGACTTTTCTCTGATGCTTCCGGGCTGTGTGAGTACTAGGGAGAGAGAGGAAGGGTGACCCTTTGAAATGGCTGGACCCCAGGTGATGAGAAGAAAGGAATGTTATAAAAATTCCCTTCAAACAGAACCAAGACACCACAATGGCAGGTGACTGGAGGAAAAAGCCTGCAGTGAGGGTGAGACCCCCACTGTCAGTGAATATTGACATGGGCACAGTTGCGAAGATGCCTATGTAAAAGAGAAAAGCCATGGTTAATTTTCAAAGGGCAAAAAAGAATTTAAAAAGACAAACCCAAGACCAGAAGCATGGATTACAGTTCTTTAACTATGTCCTTAATTAACCTTTGACATTAGTTAACACAGGACCTTGGAGTGTCTTTTTCCATTAAAGGTTCAGACTTACTCAGTTGAATTAGACCGAGGTCTAAATCTTTTGCCTCTGATTTTCTTTCTGTTGCCTCCCAGGTTACCTGAAAAAGAGTGTATAGCTAGATTTCCATATAAAGAAATGATTGTCCTATGTCTGATAGCATGTATTTCAAGAGTGTATAATTCACAAGGAGCACCACCCTAAGACATCAGGCTTTGAAGCTCTGTAGGGACTTCTCAATGTGTCTGGTACCTGGGTGTTAGCTACCAAATCCCATCATTTTCCATTCAAGAAAAAAGAACTGGACTAATCGGAACTGTGATTCTAAATAGCCTCCTCTTCATCGCAAGAATAATTAAGGAGTTTATATAACAGAACAAGTATTTTCAAGCAGGGACCACACAACACAGAACTTGGATGTGCAGACAGATGGATTCTGAATGGTCCCCTGTACCTTGCCAAGAGTTACTTCGAGGTCGCCCATTTTCACAGATGTCTGAAATATGTTTTGTGTCTGGAATCCTTTCACTCCAAGAATGAGAAAGCCCATTTGACCTGAAATTGAAAATATTTACATATGGTTCAAAAATATAGTCAAATAAATGTTTTGAAATCAGTTTAAGCGAAACTTCTAAGCATTACTGTGCATTAAATAAAATAAATCAAGAAACAAATAAAAATCATGAATGAAGAGAACATGAAAGTCTTCAATGAAAAAGGCAGAATTACACAACATTCAATTTAAGAAAGGTCAAATACAATGGAACCCCATTACAATAGTCTATATATGGAAAGTATTAAAACACAGTGCAAGCCAATTTACACGCCCCAGAACACAGCAACCACATATAGCAAATTCACTATGCATTTCAGTTACATAACCACAGCAGCAGTTATAATGGGGTCCCACCATAGATGTTTCTTAATTGTAAAGCAATGATTTCCATTCAAATTTTATGAGAACATGGACTTCCTAGAGACTACATTAAGATGTTCAACCGAACCTAGTTAAAAGTAATATTTAGGTGTTCTTAAATTATAAAATTTTCTGAGAAGTGATATTTTTGTTCAAAAAAGTACAGCATGTGTTGGTTAATTTTCCAATAGCTGAACTAGATAGGATGTTTACAATGGAAGTGTCTCTCACAAAGCCCATGTACCATTGAGCCCTTTTGCTAATTTGAGTTCTATCATCGTTAAATAAATGATCTACAAGAAACAAAATTTATACACCTACCTTGTACCACATAAGAAAAGAATATTGATAAATAAATACACTTAGGAGAAGTCTAACAATTTGATACAATTTTAACTGCTTAAATATCATATCCCACTAAGATTTCTCTAAAATCTGGGAATTATTCAAATAAATAGTTCAAGCTCTTTTTTTTCAGGCAATTTAGAAAAATAGCTCTATGCTTAAAAATCTTTTCCATATGTCATTTTGGCAAATTGCTAATAATGTCTATTTTAAGAGGAGACTTGTACTAATAAGTGAAAACAAATGGAATTCAGTATAATTATTATATATTAATTCCCTATCTTGGAACTTTTTCAAAATCATTTGCTACTTACAAAATGATTCATATTTTGTATTAAAGAACAGCAGAAATTCTGCTGAAGCTACTGATTTCTCCACTTACTTATTATGTTATTTAGAATTTCATATTTTATCAAGATAAGGTATATAATGAAAAGAATTCAAGTACATTTCTAGTTTTTTCCTCTTAGCTAACAAGCCCTCAGTAAATTGAAAGATTAAAATTTTTTCAATGTACTTCTCTAGAACTGTACTCCTTGGGCAAAAACTAGTATTTCTACTTGTGCTTTAAGAGATGTCATCTAAGTGAACACTATCCTTCACGCTTAAGAAAGTTCCACATAGGGTTTCCAAATCTCACTTACTCTCCATTCTTCCTCCTGGTTAATGTTTATAGAGACTGAGAGACACCACAGAATTTTTATAGCTGACTCACTCTGGAACTTGAAGAGATCATGATTCCTCTCAATAAACTAGCAAGTTCCCCTTCACTCCACAAAGTAACTAAAATGTCCCAAGTCACTAGCGGGGCTACCAAGTTTTTTCTTATCCCTTATGATCCTCTTGATAACTTAAAAAAAAAAATTTTCCATAAGAGTATTTTAGCTTCCTTCAGTGCAAACTAGGTCTCATTCCCTAAAATACTCCAACTATCTTTCTCTTCTATCCATTTATTTTACTTTGTAAAGCAATTCAAAAGCATGCAGAATTCTGAATGCTATCAAACACCTTTAGTTGCTAAATATAGAATATAGCAGCAGAGTTTAAGACATAAATATTAATCCCACCTTTACTATGATAACTCAGGTAAATATTAAGCAAACATAAATTGTCAACTAAGACGTAAGTTATAAAGTCTAGAAAAAGCCATCCCAGAAAAAAGACAAAATCATAATATTCAAATATATGATTCACAGAGAAGCAATCTTTGTTTCACAGCAAGCTTAGCTTTGATATATATATATATATACAATAAACTTTAAAATAGTCAATGCAGCACTTATATTACCAATTTATGTTAACAACTGCTTTTATTGAAGCATGACAGTAACCTTTTTCTTTGACTACCAAACATGACATAAAGCTCACCATGTACAATATGATGAAGTACTTATATAGTTTCTTAAGTCATATAAGAACAAGACTGAAAAACACTACAGTTTCTACGTGGATTTAGAGTTGTTAGTTTCATTTTGTTTCAATTTGGAAGCCTGATTCATCTAACAAGTGGTTCTGAGCATATGGCATTTTGAAGTACAGTAATCAAAGAACAAAGGATACTAGTTTTTAACATTCAAGAAAGAAGGAAGAAGTAATCAAACCTGCTGCAAAATAATGAAATGTTCTGACTAATGGAATAATGTGTGATGGAACAGGTAGAAATCTGAAAATGCGACAGAAAAGCAGACCTCTTCTTAGAACTAGATGCTGAGTTTGTGCTGACTCCAGGAGGAATGTCGCTATAAAAAGAGTCGCCATCTCCAGGCTTTTTTACATAATCTCCCTGGGGTAACTGTCTAAGGCATAATAAACATTTCAGAGTCAGAAAACAAGACACACACATGAACACAGACATATACAAATATTATTTCAGGAAAAAGAGGTAGGGATAATGATCTACATGAGTCAAATCTGTAACAACACATAAGATTATTCATAAATGTGACACGTTAAAGTCATCCTAACTATAGAGGCCTGGAATGCAATCACTGATGTCTTTATGGTTTGAATAAACAAAGCCTTGCTCTGGGGGAAACATGGAAAGATGAGCTCTATTATTGTCACTTTAATATACTTGGAGGTGTTAACTGCCGTTGTGTCCCTTTTTAAGAGATCTGATGTTGAAGATGTATTAGGACAGACAGTCCTTACCCAGGTGAAGCAGTTTCCTTTTCTCTGTGTAAATAAATCTAAACATTATATAATGAAACCTTAATTTGGTTTTAAAAGAATTGATTGATTTCTAAGCTACTCTGTAAAGTAATCCAAATAAATCTGTTTACAAATTTGGTGGTCAATTTGGAACTTTCCATTTCACAGAAATATGAAGAAACTTTTAAAACTTCAGTGTTGGACCACAAAGGTTAATGTTATAACTGTACAGTAGAATATATGAAGGAAGATAACAGGGCAAGAGGAAGAAAGGGTTGAAAAAAGTAACTGAATTGTGTAGCTACTATAAAAAGATATCTACAGGTAGATGGCAGGAGACCTTAGTTCTCTATCTTCACCGTAACAAGGGTCAGTCTTTTAGTCTGCACTGTTTTGTTGTTGTTGTTGTTGTTGTTGTTAAAGGGTTTTTGCTATAGGGAGTGTGCACTCGCCCAAAAGACAGACAGACAAAAAGCGAGAAATCACCCCCCAGCCCCCGAGGGGGATGGCCACACCACAATCCCTTCTCTTCCATTCTCCTCTGGGGATCTAGGGCACACGCATCCAGCGTGAGTTTAAGCCACCCGGTCCAAGGCTCGAACCACAGTCAGCTACATGGGAGTCCAGCATAAATAGCCATTACACCAACTGCTGGTCCCAGTCTGCACTATTACGGACCCTACTTACATGATTTTGAATTAACTAAGATTAAAACAGATTTTAATCATTTCTAAGAGAACCAGGTAGAAATTTTCAGATAGGGGCACCCCAGTAAACCCTCATCTTAAATGATCAGTAGCTAAACTGATCACTCACCAATGTGTGGCCCCCAAACAGCCAACTCCATTCAAAACTAGATTCCATTCCATTCAGGACTACTGCTGGAGATGTCACAAACCAGTGCTGGGCTGAGAATTTTAACTACACTTAAATAGGTCTCCATCAAAAGGACAAATTTGCTAACTCCTTTTCCTATCTGTTTCTCCTTGGTTACCATGATAATCTTTGTTACTGCTGGTGCTAAATTTTATCCCCAAAATGCCACTTTCAGATGTTTGCTTGCTTATATCACTTTCCATATTTTGTAAATGTTTAAAATACATGATAATTTGTTCTTCTGAATGACTGAATACCCACTCTCTTATTCTTTCTTCTTTCTTTTCTCTTTTTCTTTTCTTTTTTTTTTAAATTTGTTAGAGAGTGCATGTACTCACTGGAGAGAGAAAGTGAAAAAACATCCCCCATGGGAGATGGTCATGCCACAACCCCTTCTCCTCCATTTTTCCCTTTGGGATTTTGGGCACAGGCACACACATGTGCCCAACATATTTCTCAAGCTGCCAGGACTGTTGAAACTACATAGTCGGCCACATGGGATCCAGCTGTCTTAGCCACCCAGCGTCTCATAATGGCCCTCTCATTATTTCAATGCTATATATTCGCACATCTCTACAAATGTGAAGATTTCAAATGATATAAAGCATGTATTTTAATTCATGGTTTAATTTACTTTTCCCTTGCATTTTAGCTAAAGCAGAATTTCTCACTAAATTAGTATGTAAGACTGATTCAACCTATCTATAATTCTTTGATATAGGGTCCTCCAAAAGGAGGACAGATTGTTGCTATAGGGCACATGCATTTGCCTGAGAGACAGAGAAAGACAGAGAGACTGAAAGCGAGAAATCATCCCCAAAGGGGGGATGGTCAACCCAAATCCCTTCTCCTCCATTCTCCTCTCCTCTTGGGACCCTGGGCACGCACGTGCCCGGTGTGAGTTTAAGATATCGCATCCGGGGCTTGAACTGTGGTCAACTACATGGGAGTCTAGTGATGTAACCATTAACATCATCTGCTGGTCCTTGAAAGTCTTTTTAATTCTGTTAAGTGACTCCAGTTCATAATGGCTATCTTTTCTTTTTACCCAGTGTATTATAATACATCAGATTTATAGGAAAAAATAACATAAGGCCCTATATTTAAAGTGTTAATAACACACGACAAATGATACATTTATGTAAGAGAACTTTGATTTCTAGAATAATATTTTCTGTTTTACTTCATATCAATAAAATATTTCACCAATACTAGAAAGCAATGTTCTCACTAAAATCAGAGTTCGGGATTTTTGCCTTGAAGAGGAAACTTCCCTTTTGTATCATATAAACATTAGTAAAGGGATATCATAAAATGTCCCAACAATATTGCATTTAAAATGATAATCTTTATGGTTAACCAATCTTTTTTGTTGCTATTACCTTTCATGATGATCTTTGTAAGTTGATCTGATGTGCCTCACCAAGTTCAAATGAAATAGAGATATACTATTATATGAGATCACTGAGGTATACACTCGACTTTTCCCATTACTCTAGCCCCCAAATGACCTTCTCTTTACAAGGTTCTGGCATTCAGGGATTTATTCTGGTATTCACCAAGGCCTCCTGCAGCTGAGATTGCAGGGTGTAAATGGGCAAGTCCTCACAACTGGTGGGGCCTGGTCTGATCTGGATTTGTTAACTGAGCATGTTTACATCCCTTCAGTGTAACTTCTGTGGAGTACATGGTCATTTTTCCAGTGCACAAACATCCAAATCATATATATATATATATCACCAATTGTGGGCTTCTGTCAAAGGTTGGAAGGGAGCTTCAGTTCAACGTACTTCTGGGGCACCAATCCTTTCTGTTATCCTGGTATCCATCTTCATTTCAAAGTCCTCAAAATACAGGAACCAATTCTCTATTTTCACCTTAAAATTCCATGGGACTGTTTGTAGCTTTCTTCATATAGGAAATGTCAATGATAGATCTCTTAATAATAATATTTAATGGCCTTCATTCTCTGGAAATTTCTTTTTATAATAGTCATTACATACTAAAATAAACCTATTTCTTCTTGCTTTAGTGAAGACAGAGGACTATCAGTTCCCTTTGGTCAATAAATAACAGTTGGTCATTTGTTATGAAAGATCATAAATGACCAACTAAACAATCCTTTATATTTTTTAAATTGAACTTCATTTCCTAGTTCTTTATCATATTCATGCTTTCTTCCTAAATTTTGAGTGTTTTTGTTTCATCAGATTTTGGAATCTAAAAGTGATTACAACATAGGGTGGTCTGACCAGTGTTTAAGTTTTATAGTGAGAAAATTATCTCTACTTTCTCATGATATATACAAGTACTTTACACATGTGAATAACTTTTTCATAAACAATAACCATAAGAAAAAAACATGATTGCGTAACTAAATTCTTTTTCCTCAAAACTATCTTTTCCTATATACATTACCTTTTTCTCCCCTATACAACTTGGCATTTCATTTTGTGTTTTGTATTGATGCATACTATTAAATAACATTCTTTTGAAAATATTTCTTACACTCTAAGATAAGGACTAACTCCTATAACTTAATGACTTCTCAGAGGAGCTGATTCATACAACTTTTCATTATTATTTCTTCCCAGGTCCACAATACTCATGCATATTGATTGTTTGTAATTATTCTACTCAGAAGACAAAGTCAGTTCAACTTTTTGTTTGTTTTAATTTTCCAGCAGTTACGTGCACTAACCAGAAAGAGTCAGAGAGAGAAGGAGAGGGAGAAAGTAAAAAAGCATTTCCCATGGAGGATGGTAATGCCACAATTCCTTCTCCTTTATCTCTTCCTTCTTTCAGGATTTTGGGTATACATGCACATGTGCCCAATGACACTTTGGATCCAGACTCTAACAGCACTGTTGGCCACGAGGAATCCAGTTGCCTTAACCACAATGCCACCGGTTGGTCCCAGTTTAACATTTAATGTGCTTATAATTATAAATCATGAAGTTGTTGTGTTAGTATTCTAATGAAGGAAGTCTGACTTTCCTAAAAAAAAAAAAATCCATCAAATTATAATATTCACCTTAATAACCTTTATGAACTCAATGAGGAAAATGAAAAAAAAGAAATAAAAATTCAGACAAGTCTCAATTTTAATGCTGAAGTTGGTGTTCTCCAATGCTTAGTTGGTGTGTATACCATCTCTTCATGGACTTGTTACTTTACTGTTTTAAGAAATTATGTATACTGTTTACCAAGTCGCACTGACAGATTCAAGAATATCACAGAAATAATAACATAATAAACCAACTAGGAAAGATCTAAAAGGTAGGAAATCCACAGGCAGAAAATAAAATATCAAAACAGGTGAGAAAGAAAGGAAAAAGGGCCAGGAAAGGGTGTCTGTTTATGGTAAAACCATAGATCAGAAAGATACAATCATTCTACTTGTCATTAATCATAATGGTGGATGTTCATTTCAGACAATGTAAGAGATTAAGATTCCGGTGGAACATGGGTGTTTTATACATCTACATTCACTTCATGTTTCTTGTGCTACTGCTATTTGAAACCTGCCTGAAAACTAAAACCTACTTATTCTTGTTCCAAACCATATTGCTGCTAAGTCCTAAAGCAATTATGCTATAATATAAACAATAAAGTCAACTAAAAAAAATGGTGGAGGTTTTCTCTTCTGAAGATTTTAAAGAAAAGTAGAAATAGCCATCCTCTAATTACCTGATATCTAAGGCTTCTCCATAGCTCCTTGATTCTATGTCTCTATCCTTCTTGAGATGACCCTGGCAGACTTAAAGTTACGCTGTGCATATGTGGGAATCTGCCTCCATATGCCACAGAACAGGGTTTCCAGTTTTTATTAAGCAGTTTGTGAACAAAAAGAAAAAAAGAAAAAAAAGGAGGGGGGTTGCTTCTCATCTTTCTGTCAGACTTGCAAGTAAACATATAATAAAATTCCTTTAATATACTGAAAACCTTTGGGACACATTGTCAGGAGAGAAGATTTCTCAGGTTATCAGATGCATTCACAAAATAACTTGCCTCTTCTCACCAATAATTTGAAAGTTATGCCTAATCTGGCATTTCTGAGCCATTCTAACATTAATAGGAATCTAATAATTGGCTACATGTAATAGGTCTTTCATTTCATGTCACTGACACTTCCACTAGCTCATCTGGAATATATGCACCTCATTCCAGTGGATAAGTGATGCTTTCCTCTTTGAGAACAACCACATCCACCTCCTTCATTTGAAGATCAGAGAAATACCAGCCTCAGACACCAAATACTTATAACTTCCTTTCACCATAATGTTTTACAGATTACAAATAACTTTATTTTAGATTTGAGGAAAGTTTAAGTAACTTCCCAATACCACAAATGGACTGTTGACTGGTCTTCTCACCGTGGAACCTCAAAGAAAGAACTAATTTAAAGGCAATAATGAAAACTCAAGATCTTAATTCTACTTCTTTGCACCCTTTGGAACTAAGCAGATCCTTATTTGAATGCCTGAAGATATTTTTACAAGATTAAAATTTTCTTATTACAGATATTGGGCCATTGGCCTTACCACTTTCTCTACCATCATTAGCATACATTCTCAAAAAGGAAAATCCTTTAGAAGATATTTATACATTCACAACTTCCTGATCTAAAGCCTATCATTTGTTACTTCTTTTGAGAACTATCACATAAACCTAATATTCATTAGTTACGGATGAGGGCAAAAAAAAAAAAAAAAGTTGTGTTGAAATATATTAATGTCTACTGAAGATGTGGCAACTCTTAAAATACAGACTAGGATCCAAAAGAGTAGCCAGATAGATGAAATGATGACTCAATAACACCAAGAGACATGAAATTATATCAGGCACATAAAGGAGATTCTTAGTGTGAAATGTATTTATCAGTATCTATGTATGTAGTGAGTTAGAAGAGGGAAATGGTGCATACTTACATGTTAATATTTTGTATAGCGGAGGTAGTTCCCTTATTCTGAACAGTACCCCTAATAAGAACACTTCTTAAAGCACTATTTCAGCTTTGTTTATGTTACATATTTGAAACATTTCACTTTCCTTTTTAAATACTCAGCAATTTTAAGTTACATTTAGGCCTTAGCTCCTGTGGAAATGGAGATATCAATTTCTTTTATCTTATTACTCAAATCCTATTTCCACTGAAGAAAGCCACCAAACTCAAGATTTCTGATATGACTAATCAATTCCTGCCCAACAGAAAGTTTAAGTGGTTCCTGCTATGCTCAAGTGCTTTTGAACACAAGAGTTTAAAACATGTTATGAAGAAATAGAGTTGTTCATAAAATTTAATTAATTTTGTCTCAACTTTACTTTTTCCATTAACGGTAAGTTAGTAAGTCCAGAGCAATGTCAATATTTTCCAATATCTATGTGAACAGATCAGGATTTTCTGTTGGTACTTCCTGGGTGATATGTATTTATAGAGATTTTGTAGATAATTATGGCTAAAGACTTATAGGGGTTTAAAATTATAACAGAGAAACAAAACAGTAAGGTTTAAATTTTGATTTGTGAAAAAATGAAAGTTGTGTAAGAAAGTACAGGTCTCCCAGGTCTATAGAAGATTGGTTCCAGGACCCTCAGCAGTTACCAAAACCTGAGGATGCTCAGGTCCTTATAGAAAACAATGTAGTACTTGCATATAATAAATACATATCCTCCCATGTACTTCAAATAATGTCTAGATTACTTACAGATACCTGTACAATGTCAAGGCTATGTGAATAGTTGTTACACTGTATTATTTAGGGAATAATGACAAGAAAAATAAGTCGATATGTTCATCATAAGCCACAACACATCATCAGCAACAACGGAACGCTCTGGATCCACAGTCGGTTTAATCCACCAATACAAAAACTTGCAGAAGGCAAACTGTTATCAACATGTTTATTACACCTTACTCCTAACTGAACACAGGCATGTAACAGAACAACAGAAAAATCTGAGTAAGGGACCAGCAGAAGGTGCAGAAGTATAGGCACTGGATCCCACATGGCTGACTGCAGTATTTGAGTCCCCCCACTCTGGGGACTGAAAAATACATTCTGCACATGTATGTGGGTACCCCAAATCCCAAGGGAAGAATGGAGGAGAAGGGATTACAGCATGGCCAATCCCCCCTGGGGAGTGATTTCTCACTTTCCTTCTCTCTGTCTCTCTTCAGCAAGCACACACACCCTATAGTAAAAACTGGGGGGAAAAAATGCTAAAATGTGAAGTAGGAATATGCCTAAATATCTTCAGTACAGAACTAAATACAGTTGGCCCTCCATATTCATAAGCTCTGCATCTGTAGATTCAACTAATTTCAGATAAAAAAATATTCAAAAAAATTGACTGTGTCTGTACTAAAGCATGTACAGTGTTTATTATTATTATTATTCCCTAAACAATACAGTACAACAACTATTTACGCAGCATTCCTCTTGTATTAAGTAATATAAATACTGTAGAGATGAGTTAAAGAATGCAGGAAGATGTGCACGCATTATAGGGAAAATGTACTATGTTGTTTTATATAAGGAACTTGAACCTTGGCAGATTTTAGTATCCACTGTTGGTCTTACAACCAAACCTTGTGGATGGAGTCTTAGGGAAAACTGTATTCTATTCTTTGTAAAATCAGATCTGGGTCATCAATATCTAGGCAATATTCTAATTTTTTGTATGAATAGCTAATAGCATTAGTAACTTCCTAAATGTGAAAAACAAAAAATGTACCTCAATATTATGTGCTAATTTAGATGTAAGTAAAATAGACAATGTTTACAGAATTTAAATGCTATGCATTTTTTACATTGTTGGCTAAATTTTAAAATTATGATGAACAGGGTGGCTGACACTTTTTATGGGCATTTTTATTAAAAACAAGTCATGGGACAATTAGAGATTTCAACTACGAATACAAATTTCCTAACTACCTGTGTGATTATCTAAAATATTTTCTTATGCAGAGATAACCGGCTTTATCAAGTGACAGGACATTTTCCTGAGAGCCATATTTTGCCCAAATAAACCTTATCACTCATGCATGGCAACTATTAATATAAGAGAAACACATTTTTAAAATACTCTCATAAAATATTAGGTAGTAAGAATATCATAAACTTAAAGAGAAGTCAATAAACTAATATAAACAAATGTGACATCTTAACATAGAGAACATTTGTTTTAGGTGGAAAAAATTAATTTATTTCTCTATGTATATCTTTATTTAAAATAACCAAATAAGAACATCTTCTAATTGCAGTATTGTTGGACGAAAGAACCATTCGTATTAAGTAATAAAAGATCTATTTAAATTAATACATTTCACAGAACCATTATTAAAAATCTTATTTCAAGATCAAGAAAAATCAAGTTAGTATATGATTATTGTAGCATGAGAACAAAATTGACTTCACTTTATATTGCATGTATGAACCCCAACACTGATAACAGGAGTTAAGCCTTTCAATGAAATGTTCAGATTATTCTCATCACATACCTCTGTTCTCGATAGTTTCTTTTCATAGACAAGAAGAGAGAGGGAGAAAAAAACACTAGAATTAGTTACCTGTGGAATTACAAAACATAATATTAAACATAAAAGATCTAACATTTATTGAAAGGTCTTCAATATAGGATAGCAAAGAGCAGAATTAAAATGGTGAATACACACACACAAAATACACTTCATCAATACAAAAGATGACACCAAAGATTTGGTGTCAAATAACTATCCATTTTCAAAAGCATAAATAAGCCGCAACCACTAAAGAGCAACTTTTTCAACATCAGTGATAGTGCACTAAATGTTCAGTAATGTTCTAAAGTCAAAACTTTTTCAAATACAGGTGCTTCAGACATGGATGTTGATTTAAATAATAAAATTAATAAATCAAGTTATCCATAAATTAACTTTATTTTATAGAAATAAAATAATTATTCAGTCCTATTGAAATATAAACCTGGGACCAGCAAATGGAGTAATGTTTACATTGCTGGACTCCCATGCAGTTGACCACGGTACAAGTCCTGGACCTGGTGGCTTAAAACTCACACTGTGTGTGTTTGTGTGTGTGTGTGTGTGTGTGTGTGTGTGTGTGTGTGTGACCGTGTGTGTGTGTGTGACCAAAATCCTGTGAGGAGAATAGCGGCGAAGGAATTAGTGTGGCAATTAGTGTGGCACCCTCCTTCCCAGAGGGTGATTTCTCACTTTCTGTCTGTCTGTCTGTCTGTCTGTCTCTCTCTCCCTGGTGAATGCATATGCCCTATAGCAAAAAGACTCTGAAAATAAGTAAATAAGTAAATAAATAAATAAATAAGAGCTTTAATCTACAGCCATTCCTAAACATTTAAAATGCAACTTAAGTGCATATAGAACGCTTTATTTCATCAGGTATGATAAAGAAGAGTGAGTTAATTCACAGCTATTACAGGCCTTCTATTATTACTACTCGCTGAAGCTTCACAGTTAAAACATCTGTCCAGTGTTTAGTCTCGGTTTTTATTTGACCATAAGCTAACATAAACTTTTTTTTCTAGAGGTTTTTTTTGCTATAGGGAGCATGAGCTTGCCAGACAGACAGAGAGAGACAGAGAGACAGAAAGCAAGAAATCACCCCCCGGGGGGATGGCCATGCCGCAATCCCTTCTCCTTCATTCTCCTCTCGGGATCTTGGGCACGCACGCACATGTGCCCAGTGTGAATTTTAAGCCACCGGGTCCGGGACACAAACCGCGGTAAACTACGTGGAAGTCCAGTGACAGAGCCATTACGCTAACTGCTGGTCCCGCTAATATAAACTTCTATGAGTTTTTTTTTCAAAGAAACTGATTTTAAATAAAAATCTGTCCCAAGGGTGTGGTAGTGCAGTACTGGTGACTTTCCAGAAGAGCTGTTAACTTTCTCTCTTGACATAATTGTTTATACTGTGAAGGAATGTTAGAAAGGTCAAACAACTGTGTAGTGTGGGGTTCTCCCTCTAAAATTAAAGATAATTTGTTCATATAAATTTCATCTCTATCACTTTCATCTACCAATCTACTTCATCCACACTACAAATAACTGTGTTTAATGATGGGCCCATGAGGGTAAATGTGTCAATTTGTCAGTTTTCACTTCAGAAACTATCCAATGGGGAAAAAATAAGCCTGGTATCTTTCTGTTCACCATGTATTATTTTTACTTCCTCAATCTTTCTACCTGAGGTGTATGGTTCCAAATAAGTACTCCTCAGTTCTGATTCCTGCTATTCCCCACCTCCAGGTTCAGAGTTAAACTGGAAAAACTAATGAGAAAATGAATTCTCAAGTTCCAATTCTGTTTTGAAATTTCAAGTAGAACATGTGAATTACCATATTCATAAGTTTAATTCTTCTACTAAAATTTCTACATTCTCATTCCATTTTTAAACAAATTCTGAATACATTTAGAAACCAAACTTTAATCATTTAGATTCAAATTACTGAATCAAATAAAGAAGATAATGCAGTATGAACAAGATTTTTTTCTCTTAATTAAGCTGCAAAGTGCATCTATTCAGTATATAAAAATAATAAATAGTATACAGAAAGAAGCACTTTTAATTCTAATCATTAAAGCAAATACACATGGTAATTATATAAGTAATAGGAATAGGTGTTCAGGTTTCATATCTTCTGAAAGGTAAGATTTTCCAAGATTGTAAAACTGAAATATCCACTTGTATCAGCAGGTGGTAGAAAGTCATGCTCTCCAGAGCTAACAATTTTCCTATCCCTTTTTTTGGAGAGATTTTTGCTTTAGGGCGCATGTGCTCGCCAGACAGACAGAGAGAGACAGTGAGACAGAAAACGAGAAATCACCCTCCAGGGGGGATGGCCACATCGCAATCCCTTCTCCTCCATTCTCCTCTTGGGATCTTGGGCAGGCACGCTCACGCACCCGGCATGAGTTTAAGCCACTGGGTCCAGGACTCAAACTGCGGCCGACTACATGGGAGTCCAGCGACATAGCCATTACGCTAACTGCTGATGCCTTTTCCATTTTCACATGACCAGATGAAGCCACTGAGCTACTGAACTACAGCAGCGCTTGTGATGACAATTACTACATTAGTTCTGCATCAGGGAATTGAGAAAAGAGTGTGACTCCAAAACGGAGCTAATTCATCTGGGCATGAGGAGAGCTCACATGATAAATACACAGAAAAGTCTTCCTTTCATTTTATAATCCAAATGTTCTGCTGAAATAAGACTGTGCAAATATATGTGTGTGATATACTTAATGACCTGCACATCCATGAAACTCACAGATGCTGAACATCTGGAACAAGGCAAGGTACTCCTTTAATAATAATTCAGTCCTATTGAAATATAAACCTGGGACCAGCAAATGGAGTAATGTTTACATTGCTGGACTCCCATGTAGTTGACCACGGTACAAGTCCTGGACCTGGTGGCAAGGGCAATGATTAACTCTCACGCTGTGCTCTCCTTCACTCTGCCCTGCCATGCTGACGGCACTATGCTAGACTGTACTACGCTGTGTGTGCTACCGGTGAGGGTAGTCTTCCACGAACAACCTCTGTTTTTAATGCTCATGGCATACAGCATTTAACCTAGCAGTAAACAAACTGTTCTTCCTTTTCTTTCAAAGAAACTTTACAGAGTTTTGAACTCACAAGCAACTGCCATACACACTGTTAAAGGTGTCTCCTTTGAGCCAGCTGGTTTAAGACCATGTCGGGTCACAGTGATAACAATAGTGAACAACTGCTATGGCTGCCAAGCAGGCAGTACAGAGTGACATGCATTTACCCACAGGGCAAAGATGACTCTACGGAAAGGTCTGGGATAATTTTACTATAAGTCTAAAAAATATTCTATAATAATTCCCCAAATATCTAGTTAACTAAGTTTGATCCATGAGGAAAACAAATACGCTATGAGATGGACGAATGCCCAGGATGCCTAGAAAAAGGTGCAGGCCTTCCAAATGGTGAAAAATCTAAGTCCTATGCACTGGTACATCCTCAGACATCAGCAGAGTATGATTTTAAGTTGAAATATTAAAGAAAACTTAAGGCTCACCATATTTACGTTTTAAGCTATTAAACTTAAATTAGTTGTTTGAATACTAAGGAAGTTTTCCGTACCGCAGGACTGAAGTACTTAAAAAGGAAACTGAACACATTAAATATATAAATAAGTTAGACTATTTGAAGGCATTTACTTAGCATGATGTTTAAGGGTATCAAAGAGTATTCAAATTTACCCAACTTAAAACTTTTCAAAATTTACATATATTGGGTCTTTGTGAAAGTCATGATGCATTTTTGCATAGAAAAACAGAAAAAGACATCATGACTTTCCTGACGACCTAATAGAACCAAAGTAGTTATAAATGGAACTTTAAAGCTTAAGAAAGAACTGGGCTTTAAAAATTGCAACTTGAATTTTAACAAGCTAAATCTTACAACAGTCTTTTTATTTTTTTTCCACACAAACACTCACCTATTTAATAAATGATAGTGTATCTTGTTACTAACGCACTAAGCTCTCCAGTGGAAGGTACTGCCTAGATTTGGGGATATGGGTCTAAATCAAGAAAAGCTGTCACTACGGTGAGAAGCAACCTGGCCTTTCCTTAAGATGCAATTTAGACTTATTTAACTTGCTTCAATGAAACACGATTCAGTACTTCTAGAATAGAAGGGAGTTATTTCAAAATCTAAAAATCAATAAATTGTTATTATTTCTAACTATGCCAAGAATAGGCATTAACTGACTATTTCATCAAAGTGGTTAAAAGTATATTTCAATAGTAAAATACTGAGATGTTTCACTTACTTATAACCCCACGCAGTTATTCCTAAAATGAGGGCCAGCACTAAAATGGTGCCGGCAATTATGCCTATTATGATGTTGGTGCCAGCAACACCTGAAAGGAAAAAAGAAACAAAGATCAGTGACATAAAATTCCTTCAGGAAGTTTATTTGCCAGATTTGTAATGATCACACTAACCACATTATTTGTTTTTGGGAAGATATATTTCTCAGAGTCAGAAAATGGTGTAGTGTTTAAGGTGCTGGATTCCCACATGGCCGACCACAATCCTAGACCCAGTGGCTTGAAACTCACACGAGGCATGTGGGCATGCATACCCAAAATCTCAACGGAAAATGGAAGGGAGGTGACTGTGGCATGGCTATCCCCCCGGAAGGCTGGGTTTCTCACTTTTCCCTCTATCTTTGTTTCTTGGTGGCAACCATCCCACCCAAAAAAAAAAAAAAAAGGAAAAAAATGCATTTTCAAGAGAAAGAAAAATGAACCAAATTCAACAATCCACATCAATTGGATTTTTTTATACTTGGGTTTTTGCACAGTCATATTCTCCATGTATTATTCTGGAAAATATGATATTATTTAAATAAGGAAAGAGCAATGACACAAAGAGGAAGGAGAAATACTACCACACTGCTCTAGCACCATTTAGGCATAAACTGATAGAAAACCTGCATCTCTTTTGACTCCTACATTTTTCTCAGAAATTCTAGAAATGTTCTTGGTCATATCACTTCACTTTTATTCAAGATTCTTATAATTCTCATGTGTATGTGTGTGTGTGTGTGTGTGAGAGAGAGAGAGTGAAAGAGAGAGTGAGAGAGAGAGAAAGACATTTTTGTCTCTCAAAATGAATGTAAGTTCCGTAGGGAGAAAACATATTGACAAGTTTCTATGAACAGCACTCAGGTGGTATAGATGGTAAAAGCACTGGGCTGATAGATCCCAGTTTAGCAAATAGCATAGAGGGCTGTGGTATTTTAGATAAGAAAAACCCAAAGGAAAAAATAGTCCAGTGAATTGGAGACTAATGCCAGTACAGCAGGAGGGACAGGCAGCATCAGACTGGCAGAGGGACAGGAAAAGCAGAGTCCGGGGCAAGTCTGAAGCTCAGGACTCAGTGAAGTACTGTTAAGTCAGCATTCTTCATCAGGCAGGCCGTGACATAACGTTTAAAACGATCTTAGCAGTGAGAGTGGTCCAGTCAATCAACGACTTGGTCAATAAGCTCTGGGCCCACGAGCATACAAAGCTGATAGGAGGCCTGGCTCTGAAACCAGCAGACCACTTTGTTAAAGATGATTTATACCACATGCCTAATTGCAGGGCTTTCATCCAGAGCAGCTCAGACCTCTCCTTGTCTGCTCCACTCCTGGGGCATCCTTATAGACATCAAAGGTCAGTAATCAAGGGCAACTGCAGAATTCCAGTGCCTTGGGACAGAATGGCAGTCTCTCTGTCCAAGCATGCTCAATGGTCATAGCAGAGAGCAGCACCTGAGCGTCTGCAGACTGGCAGACCTCAACCTGCCCAGGCCCTCTGCAGGATGGGTGGAAGCAGCTGCCAGAGAACTCTTGGGTCACTAGAATTTATTTACACAACCATTTATTTACCCCACAACTTAAATTCCTTTCTTTTATTCCAGGAATTTAACTTTAGATTTAGTCTTGATTATTTCTAAGTAACAGTACTTTTAAGAAGTTACTTAAATCAATGTACCTAAATATCTTCATTATTGCACAAACTTCTGGGGCAAGTTACACACTACTATTGCCAAGCTGGGGACCCCAATATCTTAATCTTTTGGAACTTTCTTTTGTTAACATCATATTAACTAAAATCTTTAACCTGTCTGGGTAATTAGAATGAACATCTTTTTTTCTCATTCTTTGGAGGTGAGTAGACTTTAGGATTTGAGCATTACTTCATGCAAAGAGTACTCAAAATGAAATGAAGTATTTATAAAGGGACATTTGCTTCCAAGGTATGAGTTCTTTCAACTATTTGCATTTCATTTCTACTTTTCCACTTGGCTACCCTAGCTTTCAAAACTGCAACTGTTCTTTCTTATCTATGTCCCTAAATCTCTTCCACACACCATGGCCAAGGTTACAACTTTTAGTTTAGGCTACAGAAATGAAATTGAATAGCAATGAGATTCTACAATAAATAATATTAAAATAAAATATTTAAAAATAAATTTTCAGTTATTTCTTTTTCTTATTTATTCATTTCCAAAATATAAAATATTACCTTTAAATTCAGATAGTTAAGAATTATGACTACTGTAACTAGTTATTTCAGGGGACAAGAGAAATGAAGATTTTCTACTGATAATTCAGCCTCCAGCAAACAAGCTAGCATGGTAGGGAGACCCCTCTGGCCTTCTATCTCTGTCTCTCTGTCTCTGTCTCTCTCTGCTTCTGTCTTCTCATTTTCTTTTTCTTTTTCTTTTTGGAGAGTTTTTTTGTTTGTTTGTTTGTTTTGTTTTGTTTTGTTTTGTTTTTTTTGCTATAGGGCACGTGCGCTCACCAGACAGACAAAGAGACAGAAAGCGAGAAATCACCCCCCGGGAGGATGGGCACACCACAATCCCTTCTCCATTCTCCTCTTGGGATCTTGGGCACACATGCACACGCGGCTGGCGTGAGTTCAAGGCACGGGATCCAGGACTCAACTACATGGGAGTCCAGCAACATAGCCATTATGCTAACTGCTGGTCCCTGTCTTCTCATATTTTTGTAATTTTTCCTTTTTACGATTTTTTTAAAGGTAAATTTTTTCTCTTGCTCTCAGTTCCACCGCTCACCATACACGTTTCTATTTTTTTTTGCTTTTTTAAAGAAAAACAATAATTAATTTTTTTTTCTTTTTTTTGTCTTTTTTTTCTCTTTCTTTGTTGTTGTTTCTCTCTCGTTTTCATTTTCTTTTTTCTTGTCTCTCCACTCTTCAATATCCATTTAATGTGTTTCTAGATGGATCTAAGGACACTGTAGCTAAACATCCAAATACTATTAGAGTTAACATATTCCTCAATATCTACTGAATCTGCTGCACCAGCAATCATAACAGAACGGCAAAGAGATTCCAGATCACCTCTTTCTGCTTGCTTCTGAACATTCAGATTGAACTAAAAGAATTAGAAAGATGGGAACCAGCAGTTAGCATAATGGCTATGTCACTGGACTCCCACGTAGTCGACCGCGGTTCGCATCCCGGACCCAGTGGCTTAAAACTCACACCGGGCGCGTGTGCGTGCATCCTGAGAGGAGAATGGAGGAGAAGGGATTGTGGTGTGACCATCCCCCCCGGGGGGGG